GGAACTCTGTTCCATAGAAAGAACTTAGATAAGACTCTTTTTAGAGCTGAGCCCTGTCATGGGTTTCTACCTCACATACCTATGATGGTAAATTTCCTCTCCTTTTGAGGTCCCAAGATAACTTGGGGCTCCTGGACCTTTTTAGGGACAGACATTCTTACTTACCACAGGTCAGAAACCCTGTACAGAGACTGCAGGCAAGGTTATGAGCTCAGTTCACTAAGTGGCTTATAGGTTTTACAAGTCAAGTTTGACTTTAATGGAAAGCACACCATTCCAGCTTCAAAGTCTGATAAAAATAACCAATTCCCTCTCTCTTGTCTGTGTCCTCTGCAAAAGAAAATGATTATTATTACCTCTTATGCAAATAACTGACGTTACAAATTAAGAATACACACAAATAATTTCCAAATTCTGGAGAACTATGGAGATAAAGAGTTTCCAAGTGTCTGCTATGAGTGTACTTACTAATTGTTAAAAGCTGTAAATATCTGAAAAGAAAAGTTGCTCTTGACTCTGAAAATAAAAACAAAGGATCAGCAATGTTTTAAGCAAAGGCAAAAAGATTGCTTTAGTCTTCTTTAGTTTATGCAGTTAACTTGCTTGATATCTATGAACATTTCGGCTTCCATGAGTTCGGAAAGCGGTTTCATCAATGTCACAATCTCCTGTGCTTCAGAAACCTGCATTTAAGTGCACTCCAGCAAAGTCCTATGGTTGATTATAAACCAACATCTGAAGAAGATCAAAACAAGACAACAATTGCTCCGTGGATGATAAAAAGTCTAGCCGGGCGCAGTGGTTCGATTCTAACCCAGCACTTTGGAGGCTGAAAGTGGTGGACACTGAGGTCAGGAGGCTCACCAGCCTGGCCAACATGGTTAAACCCTGACCTACCAAATATCAAAAACAGCCAGGCATAGGGCAGCAGTGGTACTCCATAACCCCAAATTACCCAGAGGGGCTGCAGGGGACATGCTTGAACCTGGGAGGTTGAGGGGCGGTGGCAGCTGAGATCGCCACCGCACTCCAGCCTGGGTGACATGGAGCAAGACTCCATCTCTGCAAAAGTCAGACAGACACTAGTAAAGCCACATTGATTGTAATTTTATTACTTCTGTGGCATACAAAATGTTATGCAACAGTTATTAATAACATATGCTAAGTCATATTAGAATTATAGGATTTTTTCACTTCTTGAACATGTACCAATAACACATTTAATCTAATGTTCAAAGTAGAGCAAACTGAACAATTTTTTTGTTGTTGTTAGTTTTGTTTTTTTTTTAGACCAAGTCTCCTCTGTTGCCCAGGTTGGAGTGCAATGGCATGATCTCAGCTCATTGCAACCTCTGCCTCCAGGTTCAAGAGGATTCACTGCCTCAGCCTGGAGAGCTGGGATTACAGGCACACCATCACGCCCAGCTAATTTTTGGCATGCAAAGACAGGTTTCACTACATTGGTCAGGCTGGTCTCTGAACCTGATCTTGTGATCCACTCCGTCTCAGCTGCCCAAAGGCTGGGATTACAGGCGTGAGCCACCGCACTTGGCTTAAATTGAACAATTTTTTTTTTTATATGAGCCCCACTCTGTTGTTTGGCAAGCAGCGCAGGGTGCTATCTCAGCTCACTGCAGGCCTGCCTCCTGGGTTCACTGTTCTCCTGCCTCAGCCTCTCCGAGTAGCTGGGACTACAGGCGCCTGGCCACTATGCCGAGCTAATTTTTGTGTCTGTGTTTTTAGTAGAGACAGGGTTTCACCATGTTAGCCAGGATGGTCTCGATCTCCTGACCTTATGATCCACCCGCCTCGGCCTCCCAAAGTGCTGGGATTACAGGTGTGAGCCACTGTGCCTGGCCTGAACAATTTTTAATAGTCAAAGAAGCAGCTTATGACCTTAAAGAATTTAGCAAACTTAATATCTCATATAATTTAGACCAAAATGTTTACTTTTAAATTTGCTTTGGTTTTTGTTTCTTTAGTCAGAGTCTTGCTCTGTCACCCAGATTGGAGTGCAGTCACTTGATCTTGGCTTCCAGCCACAACCCACCTCCTGGGTTCAAGCGATTTCCCCAGCCTCCCGGCACCTGGGACCACAGCTTAAAATTCACTACACTTGTTCTTGTATTTTTCGGTGAGATGGGTTTTCATCATGCTGCCCAGGCTGGTCTCGAACTCCTGACCTCAAGTGATCTTCTGCCTCAGCCTCCCAAAGAGCTGGGGTTCAGGCATGAGCCATCACACCGCCAAAATAAGCTACATTTTGAAGATTTTTTTATTTTACACAATTCTTCAACCGTCTTTATTTCCCAAAGATTACTTAAGTCACATGAACTAAATAAAGGGTATTCACTTTTTATTTTTCTGATAAAATGCTGTGATTTGGCACCTCTGCATTATGCAACCAATGAATTGCTTTTCATATAAACTTTGTACATAATACATATAAATGACATGCAGTAAGTATTTCAGGAAGATAAGGGATCATCCTCTGTGGGGAAAAGAAAGAGATCAGCCTGTTACTGTGTCTATATAGAAAGAAGTAGACATAAGAGACTCCATTTTGTTCTGTATTTGAGATGCTGTTAATCTGTGACTTATCTCTAACCTTGTCTCAAGAGAGTTAAGGTGTGCTGTGTAACTCAAGGTTTGAATGGATTTGGGCGGCAGGCGTGTCTTTGTTCCTAGAAAAGCTAGGTGTTGTCCAAGTTTTATCCCCATGTGACAGGGATGAAACAATGCTGCTAAAAGGTTTATCTCAAGGCACATGGATTTTCTTTAAACTTATTCATGTCACAGAGATCCTTGTTCTTATGTCTTACTGCTGATTTCCTCCTAAAATGATCCTCATTGTCCTGCCACTCCCTTATCTTTAAGATGGTAAAGATAATTATCTATAAATACTAAAGGAACTCAGAGACCTGCTGGATGGGTCCTCGGCTGAGCGGTCCCCTGCCCCCCGCTTTTCTTCTCTATACTTTGTCTCTGTGTCTTATTTTTCTAAGTCTCTCTGCTCCACCTAAAGAGAAACACCTACAGGTGTGGGGAGGGGCAGGCCACCCCTTCCAATCCCCTAAGATGGAATTAGACCTTAAACCAGGGCTGCCACAGGGAAAGAGAAAGTATGGCCACATGGCTACAAGTGGGTCAAGCTGCTAAGGACATACAAGACAAGAAGGAAGGCCGGGCGTGGTGGCTCACACCTGTAATCCCAGCATTTTGGGAGGCCGAGGTGGGCAGACTTCACCTGAGGTCAGGAGCCCAGACCAACCACCAACATGGAGAAACCCCATCTCTAATAAAAATACAAAAATTAGCCGGACGTGGTGGTGCATGCCTGTAATCCCAGCCACCTGGGAGGCTGAGGCAGGTGAGAACTCACTTGAACCTGGGAGGCAGAGGTTGCAGTGAGCTGAGATGGTGCCATTACACTCTAACTGGGTGAAGAGCTGTAAATCCTGTCTCAAAAAAAAAATAAACAATAAGAGAATGGGAAATGTGAAAGCATTTGTAGCTCATGCAAGAAAGAATTCAGGGTGAAGTCCATACAGTAAAGTGAAAGCAAGCTTATTAGGAAAGTAAATGAATAAAAGAATGGCTACTTCATACACAGAGCAGCCCCGAGGGCCGCTGGTTGCCTATTTTTATGGTTGTATCTCAATTGCATGTTAAACAAGGGGTGGATTATTCATGCCTCCCCTTTGAGATCATATAGATAACTTTTCGTAGTTGCCATGGCATTTGTAAACTGTCAGTGGCACTTTATGAGCGGAGAGGAGAAGATCAGAGGCTGGCAGAAATAACTACCTGTGAGTTGTAATCGGCTTTTACTGCAACCTATTTTACCAGCAAAGGTCTTTATGAACTGTAGATCTTGTGACAACTCACGCATCCTATGACTTTCTTTTTTTTTTGAGGTGGAGTCTCACTTGTCACCCTCCAGGCAGTGAGTACAGTGGTGTGATCTTGACTCACTGCAACCTCCGTCTCCTGGGTCCGAGCAATTTTCCTGTCTGAGACTATCGAGTAGCTGGGACTGTAGGCATGTCACCACGCTTCGGCTAGTTTTTGTATTTTAGTAGACAGGGCTCACATATTGGCCAGGCTAGTTTTGAACTCCTGACCTCAGTGATCCATCTGCCTCATTTCCAAAAAGTGCTGGGGTTACAGGGGTGAGCCACCACACCCAGCTGTCCTTCCTACAGCTCTTCAGGCAGATAGTATTGTTCCCATCACACAGCTAAGGAAATTGAGGTGTCTAGGATGTTAAGCAACTTAATGTGTCACACTGTAACCAGTTAGAACCTAGGTCTGTGCCGAGTGCGTTAATTATGCTCAACCCCAGCACTTTGGGAGGCTGAGGTAGGATTCCATCTGAGTATCAGGAGTTCAAGACCAGCCTGGCCAACATGGTGAAACACCATCTCCACTAAAAATACAAAAACTGTTGGGCATGTAACACATCTGTAATTCCAGCTACTCAGGAGGCTGAAGCAGGAGAATCGGCTTGAACCCGGGAGGCAGAGGTGCAGTGAGCTGAGATCGCAAGGCACCGCACTCCAGCCTGGGAACAGAGCAGACTCCATCAAAACAAAACAAACAAAACAAAACAAAAACCTAGTCTGTCTGTTTTTCCACAGCAACGCACTATGTCTCAAGGTTCCAGCCAGGCACTGGGATGTCTGGGAAAAGCAGGAGAGGTTCTGAGTAGAGATGAGCCTCAGAGGACTTCGGGTGGGGCACAAGAGGATAACACCCGTCTGGCCATGCCCTGCCTTCAATTTCTGCTCAGGTGGTTAAGCACTAGTGTGAGGAAACGGGATGGAGAGACAAAGGGACGGTTGGTGGGGCCAAAGGCTTATTCCCAGTCCGGGGTATTTGGTCAAGTTTCTCCAGGAGATAATGTCCATGAGTCATGCAGAAGGATTCAGTTTCACCATCACCGTATGACACGCTCAGCACGCCCCACCTGGCTTGATGACAGACCCCACCCTCCTCACCTGAGACGTTACCACCCACGCAGAGCTTGGCTACTACAATGGCCAGAGAGCCAGCCAGAAACATGGTGAAGAAGTTGCCTTTGGTTTCTCCACTGCAGATAGCTGGGCCAGAAGCTCCTTGGGTGAGGAGCTAAGAAAGAGGAGATGAGGAACAGGGAACCAGAGACCAGCAGGGAGAAAGGTCGGGAAGTTGTGGAGAAGCAAGAACATGAATGGCATGGAAGACAAGCAAGGGAGGGAGAAAAGCAGAAGGAGGGAAGGAAAAGAATGGGGGAAAGTGGAGGAATAAGAAAGGGAAAGAAATGTGAGAAAAAGAAAAGTGACAAGAATAAAAGGATGAAGAAGGAGAGAAAGGAGATAGGAGGAGACGCAGAGGATAAAAATGAAAACGCTTAGGGAGTTGGGAGGAAGGGGGACACCAAGAGAAAGAGATAAGGACAGCAGAAGGAGTCAGAACTTTTACCCACCCACTTCTTTCCTTTCCCCAGTGACCCTACGTATCATGAGCACAAACACACCCAGAAACTCTGCTAGGCACTGCCGCCAGGAGGCTATGATCTGAGGGGGCCCTGACTCCATCCGGGGCCTGAGTGATCACCATGGTGGGAACACTCTGGTCGCTGTTCACTGCCTTCTGTCTGCACAGGCACACTGCCAATGCACAGCACTGCCTGCCCCAGCAAGACAAGCAACAGACTTTAAAAACAGTTAGCTCGGCTTGCGATTGGTTTCACCACTCTGTAATCCCAGCACTTTGGGAGGTCGAGGGCGGATCAACTGAGGTCAGGAGTTTGAGACCAGTCTGACTAATATGCTGAACCTGTCTACTAAAAATATGAAAAGTTAGCTGGCAGGTGGTGGGCACTGTGATCCAGCTACTGTGAGACTGAGGCAGGAGAATCACAACTGTGGAGTGCAGGTTGCAGTGAATGAGATGGCGCCTATTGCACTTCAGCCTGGCAAACAAGAGCAAAATCTGTTCAAAAAAAAAAAATACAAAATAAAAATAAAACAAACAAAGGATGAATGAAAGCATTTGGGAGTTCATGCAAGAAAGAATTCAGGGCGAGTCCATATGGTAAAGTGAAAGCAAGCTAAGCAGGAAAGTGAAGTGAAGAAAGAATGGCTATCTACGGGCAATGTGTGGTTTCAAGCCATCCCAGACACTTTGGGAGGCTGAGATTATTTGATCATGAGGTCAGAGACTTGGCATCATCCTGGCTAAATGGGCAGTCTCATCTCTACTAAAAATACAAAATCAGCTGGGCGCAGGTGGCGGGCGCCAGTCCAGCTACTCGGGAGGTTGAGGCAGGAGAATGGCGTGAACCCAGGAGGCGGAGCTTGCAGTAAGCTGAGATCCGGCCACTGCACTTTGCAGCCCCGCGACAGAGCGAGACTCTGTCTCAAAAATAAATAATAATAATAATAAATAAATAAATAAATAAAAGAATGGTTACTCCATATACAGAGCAGCCTTCCAGGGCCGCTTGGTTGCCTATTTTTATGGTCGTATCTCGACATGTTAAACAAGGGGTGATTATTCAGCTTCCCCTTTGAGATCACATAGGTAACTTCATGCCTTACTTCGTAAGCTGCCATGGCACTGTGGGAGGTAGCAGCAGGCACCAGAGGTCAGTGTAGTCATCTTGTCTTGGTGAGCTGTAACTGGCTTTCTTACTGCAACCTGTTTTACTGTGTGTCTTTATGACCCAGGCTCAGACAACCCCTCTAATCTCATGATTTTTGAGGTGGAGCCCACTCTGTCACCCAGGCAGGAGTATAGTGGTGTAAACTTGACTCACTGCAACCTCCGCCTCCTGGGTCCAAGTAATTTCTCCTGTCTGAGACTACCGAGAAGCACCTGCAGGCACACATCACCATGCCTGGGCCAGTTTTACTTAGTAGAGATGGAAAGCCACATTGGCCAGGCTGGTCTCGAACTCCTGATCTAGGTGATCCATCTGCCTCAGCTCCAGTGCAGCCAGGTGAGCCACCACACCCAGCTGTCCTTCCTAAGCAGCTCTCTAGGCAGATAGTATTGTTCCCATCACACAGCTTAGAAATTGAGGCTCCAGGATACAACTTATCAAAGTCATACTGTGAATCAAGTTGTTAGAACCTAGGTCTGCGCTGAAAAGGCTCATGCCTGTAACTCCCAGCTTTGGGAGGCTGAGGTGGGTGGATCACCTGGAGGTCAGGAGCCAAGACCAGCTTGGCCAACACGTGAAAACACCATCTCCACTAAAAAAATACAAAAATCAGCTGGGAAGGTGGCACACATCTGTAATTCCACTACCAGGAGGCTGAAGCAGGAGAATCGGCTTGAACCCGGGAGGCAGAGGTGCAGTGAGCTGAGATCGTGCCACCGCACTCCAGCCTAAAGAGCAGGGACTCCACCAAACAAAACAAACAAAACAAAACAAAAACCTGAAAGTCTGTCTGCTTTTTCCACAGCAATGACTATGTCTCAAAGGTTCAGCCAAACACTGACGCCTGGGGAAAAGCAGGGAGAGGCCTGAGTAGAGATGAGTTTCTCAGAGGACTTCTGGGTGGGGGACAAGAGGATATCACCCTGCCTGCCGTGGCTCCTGCCTTCACTTCTGTCTAGGTGAGCCAAGCACTAGTGTGAGGAAACAGGATGGAGAGATACAGAAAGGACGGCTATGGGCCAAAGGCTATTCCAGTCCGGGCACTGGTCAAGCTCAAGGAGATAATGTCCATGAGTCAGCAGACAGTGATTTGTGCCTCTACCCATCACCAGACAGACACGCTCACATGCACGTCCCTCCAATTGCTCTGACACCAGACCCCCACCCTCTCATTTGAGACGCTATCACCCACGCAGATGCCGAGCTACTGCAACGCCAGAGAGCCAGCTGTGAACAGCAGGAAGAAGTTGCTTTTGTTTCTCCGCTTGGTGACAGTTTCCAAGCCACAGCTCCTTGGGTGGAGGAGCATGAAGAGGAGAGACAGGAACAGGGAAACCCAGGAGACCAGCAGGAGAAAGGTCAGCCAGGGAGAAGCCAAGAACATGAATGGGTGCGAAGACAAGCAAGGGAAGGAGAAAAGGAAGGAGGGAAGGGCAATGAGAAAGTGGAGGAAGAAGAAAGGGAAAGAATGTGAGAAAAAAAGAAGAAAAGTGACAAGAATAAAAAGGATGAAGAAGGAGAGGAAAGGAGATTAGGAGAGACGAGAGGATAAAAATGAAAACGCTTAGGGAGTTAAGAAGGGGGATGACCAAGAGAAAAGAGATATACAGCAGAAGGAGCCAGGAACTTTTGCCCACTCCACTCTTTCCTTTTTCCCCAGTGACCTACGTACCATGAGCACAAACACACCCAGAAATCCCACAGGCACCACAACAGGAGGCTAACGATCCGGAGGGCGCCTGATCCAGCCGGGCCGATGGACACCATGGTGGAAACACTCTATCGCTGTTCACTTGCTCTCTGTCTGCACGAGGCATGATCTGCCACTGCACAGTTACTGCTCACCTGCAAAGACAAGGAACAGACTTTAAAACCATTAGCTCAAGCTTTGCGCATTATTCATGCACCTGTAATCTGGCACTTGGGAGGTCGAGGTGGGCGGATTACCTGAGGTCAGGAGTTTCAGTCTTACCAACATGCTGAAACCTGCCTCTACAAAATATGTGCTAGCTGGCGGTGGTGGTGGGCACCTGTAATCCCAGCTACTCAGGAGACTGAGGCAGGAGAATCGCTTGAACCCGGCAGGCGGAGGTTGCAGTGAGCTCTGATCGTACCATTGCACTCCAGCCTAGGTGATGGAACGGGACTCCATCTCAAAACAAACAAGCAAAACTCATTAGCTCAATTCTTGAAAACAGCAGCTACTGTCTGTGCACGGTGTAGGCTAGGAAACAGAGAGATAACAGGAGAATGTCCGGGAGCAGGCTATGAGCACAGAGCGTGGAGTTTGCCCAACCTCTGTCTCTTCTATCATTAATTCCCGTTCATCACAGGACTAGCCTCCCCCATCCTGACAAATCGAAGGAAGTACCCTGCTTCATATACATTAGATCTCTTGGTCCTAAAGTCAGCTCTGCGAAGTAGTACTGTTGTTTCCATTCTACAGATGAGGCTAGTGGGCCTTAGATCTCCCCAGATCATACAATTTTTTGTTTCTGTTTTTTTTGTTTTGTTTTGTTTTGTTTTTGAGGCAGTCTTGCTCTGTCGCCCAGACAAGAGTCTGGGCATCATCTCAGCTCACTACAACCTCCATCTCCCAGGTTCAAACAATTCTCCTGCCTCAGCCTCCTGAGTAGCTGGGACTACTGGTTTGCACCAGCATGCCCAGCTAATTTTTATATTTTTTAGCAAAAACGGGGTTTCACCGTGCTGGCCAGGCTGGTCTCGAACTCCTGGCCTCTAGTGATCCACCCACCTAGGCCTCCCAAACTGCTGGGATTACAAGCAAGAGCCACTGTGCCCGGCCCAGGATCACACAACTATTTCATGGCTGAGTGAATTCAAATCCACATCTTCTGACTCTCCATCTGGTAACCCACAAAGCCTCTCATTTAGAACCTGAAGCCTTTCCCAATCCATTTGGATGCTTGAAGAACTCAACAGGCATCTGGAGCGACTAGGCTAAAGACCACAGACTGTGGGAATGAAACCACACATTGAGTGGTTGTACTTCCCTTATGCTGAGTCTCACATAGGTTAGAGAATGCTCCATCTTTGCGTCCCCTGACATGGCTCGACATGAGGCCTTCACACTCCTACTTCTTCATATCTCAAGCCTCCAATTGAATGCATTCAGAGAATCTACTTCTAGACACTGGAGAAACAGTGGTGAACAAAACATAGTCTCTGCCCTCCTAGAGCTTATGTTCTAATAGGTGGAAACAGACAATATGCAGTTTTTTGGTTTTTTTTCTTGAGACGGAGTTTCACTGTCGTTGCCCAGGCTGGAGTGCAGTGACGTGATCTCGGCTCACCACAACCTCTGCCTCCTGGGTTCAAGTGCTTCTCCTGTCTCAGCCTCCCAAGTAGCTGGGATTACAGGCATGTGCCACCACACCCGGCTAATTTTGTATTTAGTAGAGACGGGATTTCTCCACGTTGGTCAGGCTGGTCTTGAACTCCCAAACTCAGGTGATCCGCCAGCTTCGGCCTCCCAAAGTGCTGGGATTACAGCTGTGAGCCACTGCGCCCAGCCAATATGCAGTTTTTAAAAATACCATGTACAGGCCAGGCACGGTGGCTCAAGCGTGTAAATCTAGCACTTTGGGAGGCTGAGGCAGGTGGATCATTTTTAGTCAGCCTGGCTACTCTGGAGGCTGAGGCAGGAGAATCGCTCAAACCCAGGAGGCAGAGGTTGCAGTGAGCAGAGATCGTGCCTCTACACTCCAGCCTAGGTGACAAGAGCAAGACTCCCTCAAAACAAAACAAAACAAAACAAAAAAACTAATCACCACATCAAGGCAGACTACGAAAGCCATCAGGCCTTTTTGACAGCATTTAAGGAAAACCTAATCCCCTGTATCCACTGGGAATTAGAGTGAAGGAGCAGCTCAAGTGTTAATTATATAAGTAGTAGGTCTTTAGAGAATG